AAGAGTATAATACAAATACAATGGTATGTGCAATCTGAAGACATGTGTTTTGGTTCGCTCTTTGCGTAGGTCAGGACCAGATACTTCATGGGTCACGGGATTATAGTGCCACTTGTGTTGTGTGATTGACAAGAGAAAACTGAATATAAGGTTATACCCAATTGGTCGAAAAAGAAAAGCAAAATATAATTGTTATCATTTACAAAATGTATAAAATATGTATTTTATTTATTTGTGGAACTGTTCAATTCCCATATTGAGATAGGTACATAATTAATGAAACAATAGCACTACTTCTTGACAAGCAACTTTGTTTTATGAATCATAATATCAGTATCAATTAGTTTCTTAAAGTCAGTCTGAAGGAAAATAGAAAAAATACATTTACGTAATTTTTATTATTAAAATATTAATTTAATTTATTCATCAAGGAATTGTTTAATATCCTTATACTGAAATAATAAATATTCTGATAAAATATAAATGTTCTGGTAAACTCCTTTTGCTGCTTTCTTGGAAAACAAATTTAGAAACACATTGTTGCAAAAAAGAAACATTTTGCAAAATAAATAACACTAAATTTTGTGTCCTATTAATGTGTCTAATACTTCACTTGTTAGCATATAGATAGAATGGTATCAAGCACCGTGTCCCATACAACAGATGATTAAAAAAAATAGAATTCACTTGATACATAAATTAAAACTTTTTGTGTTAAATATTAATACTTCCAATATATTTTTTTACATTTGCTGTATTACATGTATGCTAGATTGTGTCTACGTGTATGCCAAACATATTTTAAAGTTAAAGTGATTAATATTATTGTTCACAAAACTTAGGACATAACTGCATATAAATGCTACACAGTTCAAAGTAACTTGACTGAATTCACTCCAGTGGTTGCCTAAGCACATCATCTGTACCTGGAACTCCCATTGGTTGTTTACCAGGACATGAGCAAGAGCATATCCCTGTGTTTGTGTCATGGTGAAGAACACTGCTGGCCCTCCTGACTACAGCTGCGAGATCAGCACATGTGTGGATATACAAGACAATTCTCTCAAAATGGATCAGAGGCCCATTATGTATTAACGTAGCCTGTCCTTGCCCAATAACTGCTCACATTGGATCCAGTTGCATATTAGGTGAATACAGCAAGAGTTAGACTCGACAGCCCATCCCCACCTCTTATTTATTAGAAAGAAACAGTATACTCCCAAGAGACCTGCCAAGATAAGGAGTTCTAATTACACAGAGTAGATCATAGGAGAAAGATGACAGCAAAAGTGTTCAAGTGGTAGGGGAGTCATAGCTTAAACTATCTTATGTGTGGGAGCCCTCATGACCCTGTGTGAACTTTATTTCCGGTCCGGCTGGCACATTCACATCCATGGCACCTGGTATCAATTTCATTTAGTGACAGCTTTCTTCCAGTACAGCACTCACTTTTCCTGGTATCCTACCCAATTGGCAAGGAGCTCTGGTAGCACAATGCCTAAGGCAGCTGTTAACCAGAAGGTTGGTGTTTCAAACCCATCAGCCACTCCCTGGAAGCAAGACTGGGCAATCTACTTCCATAAAGATTTACTGCCTCGGAAACCCAATGGGGGTCACTATGAGTCAGAATTGACTCAATGGCAGTGGGTTTGGTTTGGTTTTGGGGTATGTGCTTAGCAACTAGGGGTCTTTGCTATGGACAATGGGTACCCCTGTTCTGCTGATGCCCTAAGCGCATGCGTAATACCTTGCTTATTGGGTAAAACGTCACTGATTGACATGGGAAGACATCTAGGAAACAGAAAATTGAAGAAGCAGTTTGCAAAGCAAGTATCTGCTACAATCCCATTTGCAGCTGTAAAATGCATCCAGAGAAAAGTATGAAGTATATACATCAAGTTGCTAACATGAGTTAACTCCAAGTGATGTGATCGTAGAAAAATTTTATTGCTTTCTTTTTGCTTATTTGTGTTTTCTGATTTCTTTCCTCTGAACATTGTATAATAAAGTTAAAACCTATTAAAATAAATAAAAGAATGGTTGCAGAAGAGGGCCAGGATGTGTTTTAGGAGCTGGCGGAGGGGATGGGGAGGAGTGACTCAGAAGTCCAAGAACTAGGGCTGGTGGGAAGGGAAACAGCCAGGAATTCCACACAGACCCAAGCACAA